CCCGTGTTCCCTGCATCGGCAGGCGGACTCTCAACCACTGCGCCACCAGCGAAGCCCTCTTAGATACCTTTTTAGAAGGGCACCTGCAGTCTCGGCTCTTATCGTGACATGCAGTGCAGCCTAACTGCGAGGGGCACAGGGCTGGAGCCAGATGGTGTGGGGTGTCATCCTGACTTGGCCACTTATCACTTTGCCTTAGGTCAACTATTTTGTCCATGCCATATTTGTTTCTCATCTACGAAAACAACAGTCATCAGACCTACTTCACTGGGTTGTAGTGAAGACTGTTAATTAGAACAGTTGCTGGCATGTAGCAAGTATGGAATAAATGCTATTAGCAACACTTACCCTATTCTTTTCATTGGTGTCTGTCTCATTTGTCAACGCTAAGATCTTTCAGAGACGGTCTCTGGTTATCTGTGAAGCCTAAGGGATGGCAGAGAGCAGGTGCTCACAAATATGCCTGAAGGTAACTACCGCAGGGAGATGAACATAAAGCTCAGACGACAGAGTTGGAAAAAGCATTCCCTACCGGGAATAACAACATGTGAGAAAGTAAGGATGAAATTTGCGTGGGACGCTGTAGGAGCAGCTTGGATGAGGTGAATGACCCTTATAGTGAAAAAGGGAGAAAGGCGATACAGAAGGAGAAAGGGAATGAGGACTCTGGAGCCCAGAGCAATCTGAAATGGTCTGTCAGTGGGCTGCAAGGGGACCCCAACAACTAAAAGAGTGGATGCAACAGAATCGGGTGGGGAAAATCCTGGCAGCAGGGAGACTGGTTAGGAAAATAGAACATTACTTATTAGTAGCAACAATGGCTGCTATTCACAAACCCTGCTCTCTTAAAAGAAAAGGCAATTTTATGATCACAAAGAGGCTACATTTTCTTTTTATTGGCAACTCAATCTACATATATACAGTATTGCACAAATTGTAAGTGGGTTGACAGTTATATTAATACAAATTCATGAGCATTTACATAAAGCTACTGCTCTAGGTTTTGGTGCATTTTGCGCCTGGTATTTTAGTAAATATGACAAACATAAAGGAACTCAGCTACTGCAATTCATAAGAATTGGCTTTCAAAAAAAGCAAATATGTCACCTCACAGAACACTTAATACATCAAACCCAGGAAAATCAATAACTAAATGACAAAAGGAACACTGTTAAAGAAAAGTTGGTGATAAAATGTCAGGTTAAAGGGCGTCCCTGGTGGCGCAGTGGTTGAGAGTCCGCCTGCCAATGCAGGGGACACTGGTTCGTGTCCCGGTCTGGAAAGATCCCACATGCCGTGGAGCGGCTGCGCCCGTGAGCCATGGCCGCTGACCCTGCGCGTCTGGAGCCTGTGCTCCGCAACAGGAGAGGCCCGCGTACCACAAAAAAAAAAAAAAAAAAAAAGTCAGGTTAAAACATTAGGCTTAAAAATTTTAGCAATTGGACTTAGGACCCAGAGTGTACACACCGTATTGGGAATTATAAGAAAAGATCCCCATGTTCTGCTTCACAATTACTACTACCTTCCAAAAGAACAGTTCTGGGTGGCTACAATGTCTTCTTCCCTGCTAGTATAAACGACTGTTCCACAGTCCTGGTGAAACAAGATGGTAATTCACATAAATGGGATTTAAAATAAGATTCTTCTCACCCCAAATAAAATAAAACTAAATATACTCTCCAAACTACAGAGAAATCTCATCCAAATGTTCACCAGATAAAGAAGCCAGACCACCCGTTTACCTTCACTGACTGCCTCGGAGCGCAGGGCTGGCGTGTCACCTACAAGATGGGGAGATGTGGGTGGTCCCGGCTGTGCCCCTACCCAGCTTGCAGTGTGAGGGGGGACAAAAGCCCTTCAGCTTCCCAGGGTATAGAACTGAGGGGATGGGCTAGATGGCTTTTAAGAGACCTTCTGATTAAAAGGATCTAAGTCCGCTTGAGATCCCATATCCGAGCAGACGCTTAGGGTGGGCAAAAGAAATGGACTTAAAAACAGGTGGGTGAAGTATTTATCTTTTGATCCCATCACTCAGAACTATTCTGCACTACAGTTAAGGAAATCTCTGTCCAATACTTTAATGGCTGGGGATGCTGCAGGGTAAGCAAATGAGGTATCAGACAATGAAGTTTTAGATAAAAATGTAGAAACGCTGTGCCCAGTCTGGGTAGAAAACAATGCACCACCACACCACACCAGGAGTCAAGACTTCCTGTCTCTGAATTTTAAAATCCATCTTGTTGGGAGATGTACGTTCAATCCTTTCAAAAGATCTACCAATCTACACCTATTAAGAATATGTTTTCTGAAATTCCCCCAGGAAGGCAACTTCCATGAAACTAGCTCTAACAGAAAGGATGCAGGAAGGAGAATTTACTTGCAGCGTAAAACTTTTTTTCTTTACAGATCAGAAAAACGACACAAAGAGAGCAATAGATTCTCATTTTCTGTCCCCTATAAAGGACACAAGTATCAATTCTTCTGGAATCTAACACACTGGCTTCATTTTCAAATGCATCACTTTATTTTCCTTGTAAGGCAGCCATATGTTACAAACCTTAAGCATGCGACAGTCCTATGACTTCTTCAATAAGCCGTAGAGCTTCCACAGCTCTCCTGGGGCCTACAGCCCGAGCAGTCCTGAGGAGTCAAATATTAAAGCTTTCTCCACAGCCACATGTTCCTTTGATGTTTGGGTTATTGAACACAAACTCACTGGATAATTTGTCTTCAACATAGTCCATTTCTGTTCCTAAAAGTGTTAGCTGTGCTTTCTTCTCGATGAACACTCTGACTCCTGGGGGAGAAGAAAACATGAGTCATATAAAGCCTGCCATCCCATGGAACCTGCTGATTCAAAGCACAACTGAACTTCAAATAGTAACCACTAACAAACGTCAAACAAGAGGCTTTTGAATCTGTCTCATTATTTCCTTTAAGGGATGCAGTGCTCAGTTTTCTGTCCCCTTTCCTACACAATAATCTATGTCAAAAACAATTGTATTAGGCTAGACAGTTGTGAACAGCAAATTCCATGACAATTCTGTGTAAAACTAGAATTTGCCTTTCTTCGCTATACTTCAATTTGCTACATGAAGAAAATGTGTATATTCTCAGTAAGAGTTCTGTAAAGATGGAGTCAATGAGATTAACGAAAATCCTGAAATGACATTTGTACACACAACACACTGCCAAGCCTAGAGAAACACAAAGGACTATGATATAATGGGCTAGTTTAATAAGACTAAATCATGAATCAGTACAAGCAGTTCTGTTTTTCTGCTTATGGACCAGAAAACTGATAATAACATAACTCCCTAGTTATCTCTACCTAACTAGTTGGTAGAGGTGGGAGCCTTCGTAAATACTAATGGATTAAGAAAGCTTTCTTCCTTATAAAAAACTGCATCATTACTTAAATATGAACTATCTTTATTAGATCTCTTCTTTAAGATGAACACTTTCAGGTTTAAGATACTTTTACATATTGATTTTAAAAATAATATATTAACAAATGTCTTTATTGATCAGTAACTTAAGTGCAATAAAAAGAATACACATCAAGAACCCATGAAAACTGGCTAATGGCGCACACAAAGCCAGTGCTGCAGAACCCATGCACGCTGAAACTCCCCTGAGGTTGTGGCAGTATTTATTTTGTTTTAAATAGATTTTATCAGATTATTGGGTAGGGGCAGGGACTGGGGGGGAGGGGCAAAATATAATTAAAGCACTGCAATTTTTACTGAAATTTGGAAATAGACTCTTCTAAAGCAGGAAATGACATTACTTATTTGACACAGATGCTTCACACCAAAGTGGCTGGTTCATTCTGAAGTTTTATCATCTTAAAATCTTTCTGCACACAATGATAACCTTTCATAACTGAAACAAATAAACAAGTTTATCCAATAATCTATCACTTAGTTACTAAGAGCACAGCCTCTGGAGTGAACTTGATTGGCTTCAAATGTTCATAAGGCCACTTACTGGCTGTGTGACCTTAGGCAAACATATTTAATCTCTCAGTGCCTCAGTTTCTTCATCTGCAAAATGGGGACGATACAGTACCATTCTCATTTAGTTGCTGTGTATAAATTAGTTAATATATGAGAGCCCGTCGAACCATGCCTCCCTTACAGTGAGCACTATATACACCCTTCTTACTATTATCATCATTACTCTCCATGCTACACAAGGCTAAGCATTTTAGGGAGAAGAAAGTGTCCAGAAAAAGTCTGCGTAAAACTCACCATCTTGAACAACTTCCTCATCAGAGTCTCCTTTTGTCTTTGTATATTCCAGAGTGTAGGAAAGGCCATTACAACCCCTGGTTCGGACACCAACTTTCACACCAACCTGAAAAGGCATTGTAAAAATAAACTTAGTTTTAATGTAGTACAGATTAAACAGTTATAGTAATAAAAGCCCTATTTGATAATATTCATTTCTTCAAAAGCTAAAAGATAAATATTAGATTTCTGGCTATAAATAGTCCCTTTAGGAAGTATAAGCAGAATGGGAAACTAGCATTTAAAAAATTTAACTACTGTACAAATATCATTACAACATTGGCAGGGATCCAAAAAGAATAAAAACCAATTATATACGAAGAAAGAAATACAGAGGGAACACTGCACCCTAAAACTACAGTCACCAGTACCCTAAAAATGAGCTTGTGTGTTTCTTCCTATTTTCTTTCAGTCTTTGTCTCATATATAATCTAAACATGGGTTTTTTTTGGCCGTGCCACGCCGCTTGTGGGATCTTAGTTCCCTAACCAGGGATTGAACCCATGCCCCTGGCCATGAAAGCTCAGAGTCCTAACCACTGGACTGCCAGGGAATTCCCTAAACATAGTTTTTATTAGAGCAGAAATAAAAAATTTATTCTCTGCTTTGTTTTTTTCCCACTTAAGACATCATTTTCCCATGCAATTAGCTTTTGTAATTATCATTTGCAACTAATGCCTACATAATATTCCACTACACCTAAAGCATGTTTATTACTTAACCATTACTATTAACCATTTCTTCTGGGAATAACATTTTTAAGGGAAGAGTTTTAATTCCAAAACTGAATAATCACTTTTTAAAAAAAAAAAAAAAAAAAATAAATGAGGAAAAAAATACCTGATGGCAGAGATGACTACCTAAGAAAACTGGACTTTCTCAAAAATGTTTTTGCTCCACCTCACCATGTGAGATGTTCCCAGGATATTTCCCTATGGTTAGGTTCACCAAGGTTCATAGGTCATCACCTGGCAATCACATTGCCTCTATGTGACATGGGGCCTTAATTCTGTAAACTTTCTCAAGTGCCAGAAAGCAAAAGACTGCAGTCAACACAGACGTTAAGAAGTTTAAAAAGTGACCAAACAGCACTTTTAAAATACCAATGTCTACCTCAATGTAGTTTTCTAACAATATCTACCCAATTTCTATCTATTCTTGAGTCCTATCTGCTTTTTCGTGTGCATATACAGCATTATCATAAGAAGTATCATTTTAGCAAGCAGATCCTGATTCCCTGAACAGCAGTAACATGTGCTAGCTCCAGGAAAGCAAACATAAAGTGGGAAGACACCTGATGAAGAGCATGAGTTAGATGTTAAGATGTTTGGTGGTTTTGATGAGTTGAAGCATTCAGAGTATTCTCTTCTGTCTTCAAACAAGGAGACAGAACTATAGCTTTATTCACCTTCACAGTGACAGCTTAGAGAATGTGTGAGGGAATTTCACATATTCAACATGATAAATAATAAAGTGCCTGGCTGAAATTCTGGAGCACACGTCATAAATACTTGTTTAACTTAGTTTTTATCTTTGCAAATAGGAAGACTCAAACAAGCAGGAAGTCCAACTATTAGGAATAGAGAGACACTTAAAGAGTATGTGAAAATACAGCTTTAGGTAACTGGAGTTTGGAAAAGGGATTGCTTATGCCACAAATGACACCTGAAGAAGTGTTTGCTCAACCCTTTTCATGTCAAAACGAACAAACATCCCTCAACTCTACAAAAGTGAAACTGTGTCAACTGGTCAATTTACACTCTAGTCATTAGTCTACCCAAATTTAGTTGGAATTGAGTTGGAACACTGATATACTTAGATTTAATAATTCTTAGGGGGAAGATGATCGAACTCCTGTTACACTGCAATACAGGTTGTACAATGGAACTTAGAAACTACTCTGTAGTCTAATTATTGAATATTAATAGTCTTGGAAGTCATTTACAGTATCCCTTAGGCAGTGAAGAATGTGCTAAGATTAAGATGGTACGCACACCCCTTGCCCAACGATTCTACATCTAAGAATACAGCTTATGTAGATGAAATAAGCTATGCCTACAGGTCCAGAACAACGGGCCTGACACACTACAGATGCTAAATATTTGTTGAATCATGTTTGTGGAAGCACTGAATGAGAACAACCCAAAAGACCTTTAATATGAGAGCCTGGCTAGATAAACTTGTTCAACGGAATACACTAGTATATGCAGCCATAAAGAGAATAAGGATCTTTATGTAAGGATATGGAAAGATCTTCAAGCTATACTATTAGGGGCAAAGCAAAGTGCAACCACAGTGTGTGTGGTATGTTCTCACCTAAATAGGAAAAGAGACACACACGCAAATGTAACAAGCAAAGTCTAGGCCAGTGGTTCCCCTCAGGGAATTAGTTTTGGTTGTCACAACTCTGGCACAGGCCAGAGATTCTGCTAAACATCCTGCAATCCACTCCCAACAAGGACTATCCAGTCCAAAACATCAACAGTGCTGAGGCTGAGAAACCTTGGTCTAGGTAATAAAATGCACAGATGATCTGTGCAAGGACACGAAGAGGCAGCCTCCTGGAAGGGAGAATGAATAAAGAATGTGGGGCGAGAGAGTGACTTCCTTTTCATAATACCCTGTTGTGTTACTTGCATTTAAAAATCATGAGCATTTTTTACTTTTTAAATAAAAACCCCTAATTAATGAAAGCACACTGTTTATCACAAGATAAATTCATTGTGAAAATACAACTTCAATTTTTTACTGAATATTTGTCTGATTGGTTTTACTTACGTGTTCAGGCTTATCTTTAAGAAGCTGTTTTATCTTGTTTACTGCTGAAGGTGTCTGAAAAAAGGGAAGGTTATTAAGTTGTTAGTTACAAACTTTGCCTTCTTTAGCCTTATATTTCCTAGTATTTAAGACAACTCAAGTCTATCTTTAGCAAATTCATGTGGTGAATTTATGTTCCATTCTCACCAGAGTACCTTGTGGATTTCATACACAAACATATGAACTCTACTCAATTAAAAGCATTTTTAAAAATATCTACTAGCAACATCCTCTTCATCCCCTGCCCCCAACCCCCCAGTCAAGGTCAGCTCCCTGTCATAATCTCTGTGGTACTATCTACTCACATCACAAATATAATTTTTCTAGTCAGCATCTATTTCGAATTCCTACTTTATGCCCAGCAACAAGCACATTGCCTGACACACAGAAGGCACTCGACAGTCAATGAATGATATCAAGTACCACATTGGGAAAGCCAACCTTCAGGCATTTTTCCTATTCATCATTATTAACTCTATTGCTCATTCTGTTTACCCCAAATCTATTTCAGATCCATCAAAACGCACACCTAGAGGAAAAAGTGTTACCAGCATCAAATAACCCAGTGTGCCTCTCGTGCCAGTCCCACCAAATGTTCACAGAGATTGATTAACTGATTGATTTCGGCCGCGCGGCACGTGGGATCTTAGTTCCCCAACCAGGGATTGAACCTGCGCTCCTTGCATTGGAAGCACAAAGTCTTGATCACTGGGCCTCCAGGGAAGTCCCTATCCACAGAGATTATTACATCAGCATCTGAGCATCTAGATGATGCTCAGAACTAAGCTAGTCAATAATAGAAACAAGAGCATGGAAGAGTTTTCAGGAGAAATGTTTAACCAAGCCCAGTTGTCCTCAAAAATAAGAAAACGTCTCAATGTACTTCATGCGTAGATCAGCATTACAAACCCCAATTTCCTGAGGAGGCTGTTAGGGAGAAAGCCTGTCCCAGGGCATTCCTGGCCCACTTCCTAGCTGTGTCCCAGCCCATTACTTGGCTTAAACAGGGATAAAAGTCCCTCTTCCTCAGGATTCTTGTGAAGATTAAACGAACGAATTCATGAAAAGCATTTAGAATAGCGCCAGGAACAGAGAGCTCAACATAAGCCAGCTATTATTCTAACAATGAGAATATATTATCATGAAGAGATCATGTCCTTCCTACGTTTTGTTTCACTAGCTCCTCTAGCTGGCAATGCTGAGCCGGTCCTCCAGTTTTCTATACAGGCATTTTCCTGGTTTGTGAAATCTCAGAGTGGACATTATGACCTACAACTAGGTAGTAATCATAGCCAGAACTCAAGCCTGTGCTGGGGGTACAGACCTGATGGATGGCCCGAGTGTGCTCTTTCACCCTGTCTGGTTGGGGCTTGGCCAGATGAAGATGCTGAAGCAGAGTCTGGACAAATTTAGAAAAGTCATGAAACCAATGTAAAAGGTTGAGACTATCATTAAAAAAACAAAAACAAAAACAGGGACTTCCCTGATGGCGCAGTGGTTAAGAATCCACCTGCCAACACAGGGGACGTGGGTTCGATCCCTGGTCTGGGAAGATCTCACATGCCACGGAGCAACTAAGCCCGCGTACCACAACTACTGAAGCCCGCGTGCCACAACTACTGAAGCCCGGGTGCCACAACTAATGAAACCTGCACGCCTAGAGCCTGTGCCCCGCAACGAGAAGCCACCACAATGAGAAGCCTGCGCACCGCAACGAAGAGTAGCCCCCGCTCGCCGCAACCAAAGAGAGTCCGTGCGCAGCAACGAAGACCCAACACAGCCAAAAAACAAAAACAAAAATCACAGAACAGTGCACTACACTTGATAAACAGTGAAACTTTGATTCAGTTATTAACATACGGTGTGTATGTATTTCTTATTGTGTGTCACTTAAAAAAAAAAAGTTAAATAAATCACTACCAGTGGGTGGTTTATAAAGGCCGTTTCCCACAGTTCTATCAGAACAGGAACCAAGCAGATCAACGACAGGGAAGAGGATGGGGGGGTGGGGGGAAGGAGGAAATTCTGCAGAGAATTATTTTTATTTATTTATTTTTTAAGATCACAGTATGTTAACCTCAAATAGTTAGAGAGATATTAATGGAAAAAAATTTTAAAAAATGCTTAGTTACACTTCTAAATGATTGCCAGTAAAAACTAGCTTTCCTAATTTTCATGGTGATATTTCCCATGTGAGTCCTGAAGAAATTAATCTAATTACTGTCAAATTACAATCAAAAGATTTCCAGTAAATTAAAAAAAAAAAAGGCACAGCTGTGGGAAAATACTCACTGGAAGTCCAACCTGATGCGGAGCCTTGGTTTATTGCCAGCAGATGGGAGGTGTAAGCTCAGGGCACACATACCATGCTGCCCCACGTGTTTCTTTTCATTCTGACCAGGGACTGAACCTGGGCTATGGCAGTGAAAGCGCCGAATCCTATCCACTGGACCACCAGGGAACTCCCGAGTCTCATGTGACTTTCCAAATTATCTAATTTGGTTTTTACAAAAGCAATATATTTCTTTTCTCAACTCTTAGTAGAAAACACTTAAACAGCAAACAAAAGCAATTCATGGAGAGTGGTCCACTTACCACAAAGTGGTTGATGTTCAACATTTCATACTGAAAGGGGCTTAAGAGAAAAATTACCTGCGTGCCTGGGAACCAAAACATGTCTTAATTTCCTAGTGTCAGGCAATAATCCAATATACCCCACTGGGAGGAGTGTTACTGATGATGTATAACCCTGCTGAGAGCCCACTTCAGGGTAAAGATATGGTCATTAGAACTTTCCAAGCAATGGATCTGAATTTCAGAACAAGTCAGAATGACTAAACAGGGGAACGTTTGGGACTTAAGATCATTCTGGGAAATAGTATAAAAACTTCAACAAAACAACATGCTGCAAGCCTAGCGGCCCTCCAATTACAACATACTCCCCCAAACAACTAAGTTACCCATACCCACCCAAGAAAGTTATGTATAATCAATGAGTCTAATTCACCTGAGATTTGGCCAGTGAAATAAAATTCACGAGGCCCTTGAAACTCAATGAAATATTATTTCTCTCATATGTGTATCACAGAACAAGACATTCTTTCAAGTGAAAGAGTATCTTTGAGTGAGATATTTTGGCCTTAAAAAAAAAAAGACTTCTAGTCTGTTTTTGTGGTTGAAATTATGGGAGAAGGCACTGCAGATAAACGAATCTTTTGACTACTTCATAGCAACATACTTTTACTCTATCCAATGCCATAGCGTTTCTATTCCTTGTAGCAGAAACTTTCCATCCTCAATACTGTATTTCCTTAGTCATTCCCCAGGCGATTTTCATTTTTTGCTGTTTACGGAAACAAGATTAAAACCCGAAGTTAACTCTACGATTATGTATACTAAACATGAGCCAACAACTACAACCTAGTTTCGTTTCCTTGTAAATCTGGCATTTTAAGGTTTAAAAGATGGTAGATAAAGGGCAGCCAATGAATAAATTTCAGTATATTTTGTTTGAGTCATTCTTTAACAGCTATGGCATTATGATGCTGTTTCCCTTTTGTCTTTGCCTATTCCTGTACATGCAGGTAATCATAGTATATATTCACAATTTTGTAGCCTACTTTTGAAAGTTTAACATGCTACTCATTTGATACATAGTAACATACATATATATTCACTGTTTCTTGAGTACTTTCTAGGTGCTTAATGGTTTATATGCATCATCTTTTTATTCTTTCAGTTCTGTGATTTAGGTATTAAAGATTAAATAATTTGCACAGGGCTAGTAAGTCAAAGAATTAAGAGTTATGACTCCCAAACCTTTAAAAAAAAAATCATTACTTGCAATGACTACATATCTCGCCAACAGGATTTACTCTTACTTATTTAACTGGCCTTTCACTGTTAGACATTCAGGCTACTTCCAATTGTTTCCTGTGTAATGCCCCTTAAATTGCCTCCATATACCAATCTTACAGCTTGGTCACTGTTCCAAAGGACTTCTGGGGCTACTCCTTCAATGAATAAACACCTCCTTGAGCCCCCATGTATTTAACATCATATTGTTTCCAGACCCTTCTCAACCAGGAGCTGCTAGAAATTAAGCCCTAAGGTACCCACTGTATGTAATGAATTAACTTCTCTCTTGTGCATCAAGAATGATGCTGGCTATGTACCATTAATCTTCATATCTTTGGTTGAGCTTTAGGACAGTTGTGGGTATATCCCTAACCCTAATTAGGGCTGCAATGATTCTGCTTTGTACAACAATGGAAATAAAGGCCTCTGCCTGCAGTGTAGTGTTAAATCTTCAAGTTCTTCAGTCATATTTTACTCTGGCTCCTATACATACAATTCCATTCGCAATTCCTGGGTCTGCAGGGGAGTAGGGAAGGGGGATGTCATCCTCCTTGGATGAAGGGTACTGACTTTGATGTGGTGGGTTGAAACCTTATTCTATCAAGGACCCACCCCTGGTTGCATAAAAGTGCCTGTGACCAGTCTTTGAAGTCTTTCTCTCCAGCAAACCACCAATCCTCTCCTGGATTAACATCAGTTAACACAGGTAATTTGGCTCTGAAAACATGGAATCATGCTTTTATTTCATCAATACCTTTTCCTAACCTCTCACTGACTAGACTGCACAGGTACAGCACTTCTCAAAGGTTGCAACATGTTGAATTCCTGATGTCAAAATTTATATACTTAGCTAACATTCATCATCTCTTCTTACCCGTTTCATTGAACTATCTCATTTCATTTGCTCTCATCTGTCTTCACTCATTAGTCCTTTGATGATTTCACTGCTTTTGCACTTAAATGAACATGGTGTTAAACGTTTGCAAAAACACTTGAAAATTAAGCACAGATACATGCATGCCAGTGTGTTAAGACTAGGAACACATGCCAGGATTAAAATAACTGCAAGCCTGCTACCACAGACCTTTGGTGGAAAGAAACAGGGATGTGCGTTGGCACCAGCTAAGATCACAGGGAAAGGGACTAAAGTCCGCTAGACAGTTAAGGAGGATAAATTCAGACAATGAACTCCTGCATGCTAATTGGAAATGTTGATCAAAGGCAACACAGAGCCCTTGTGAACTGAGAACTGACATGACAAAGCAGTGCTGGTAGCAGAATTGGCTTGGTAAGCCGGGACAGGTAATGAAGCATAAAGGAGCAAGCATGGATTGAGAGCAGGTCTGAGAAAGTGGGCTGGGTTATTGTTCCTAGTAATTTCTAAAGGTGCCAAAGGCCTGGCCCATGACTGTGTCCCAAGAGGGTGGGAAACGTAGGTCTTAAATGTCTGATGACTAAGTAGGAATGGAGAGAAAGGGTATGACCCATGCCAAATGGTGGAGAAAGAAAAGGCAAAAAAGTGTCTCCACACCTTCTGACTCTTCCTGGCTCTATCAGTACCAGTGGTAGAATTCTTTTGATTTCTGAATAATTTTTACTGAGATTGAAAGGAGACGCAAAGTATGAGTAGTGCTTTCTAGTTCTTATGATTTCAAATCTTGGAGAATTCTAAGATTTGACGGTGTATCTTTCAGACAGGAAAATGGGCTTGATGGTACAGAAAAAAGGAATGTAGAATACAGTATCACATAAAAACAGGATAACCTCCTTATGCACCTAAAACAGTGACCCATTATAAAAATATATTCTTCCACCTGATCATGACTTTCTCCTGTTTTGCTGAAACGAACTTTCCGGCAACAGGCCTTCTTATGGCATTAAATTGAACGGAATCCATGATTCAATTTAATCTGTTTTCCCCAGTCTTCAGGAATTGAATGTTTGCACAAAGGCTTCTTTACCAAGAGTGGGGTGTGTGTGAGAAGAATGCTGAACTGATAAGATTTCCTATGAAATTAATCTTTCAAAACTGCAAATAGTGACTGCTTAATGGACAGGGGGTTTTCTTTTGGGGCCAGGTGTTTTGGAGCTACATAGAAGTGACAGTTGCACAATACTGTGAATGTACTAAATGCCACCGAATCGAACGCTTACAAGTGGTTACTTTTATGTGAATTTAAAACACAAAACTGTGCAGTACGTCGGGGATCCAGCATGCACAGTAAGTTCTGTAAGTATCTGCAGCAAGCTTCCTTTGAGTGTGTTTGACCTTTCACCCAGAGACCGCTGTAAACTCACTCAGGGTGGAAATTTATCCTTCTTTGTCCTTTGTTAGAGCCACCACGGCCTAGGGCCCCTGGAGGCACAGAGTGCGTTTCAAAGCCTCTTCAACCCCAGACACCAGGAAGTAACCCTTTGTGCACTGCAGCCTTGATCTCTGCAAGGGGGTGGGCTTTGTTGTCTCCGCGCTCTCACCGGCGCTCCCGCATCACACTGTGGTCCTGCGGTCGGGCGAGGCTAGGCTCGGCTCTCCCCAAGCGCCACAAGGGTAGGAACCCTGGTTCATTCACCCAGCTGCGCCCGGCACCTGGCACTTCGACCTCTAAGTAACCCGCGACCTCAAACACCGCTGGCGCAGCAAGACCCTCCGCAACCCCAAGCTCCGGAAAAGCCGCGCCTGACCCCCAAGGGGCCGCGCTCGCGCCGCCCCTCCCCCCTCCGCACGCGGCGGCGCGCGGCCTGCTGGGAAACGTAGTTCCCGGGCGCCCGGCTCCCGAGGAGCAGCCCCGCCCGCGCTTGTTTATCTCCACAGCAGAGGCGAGTTGGGGGTGGGGACGATGCGGCGGCTGCGGAGCGGGTCAGGGGTCCCGCCGCCCGGCCGTGCTGTGCCCTGCCACCGTGCCCCCCTTCGCGGGGGCGAAGGTGAACCAATATAATGGGCCCGGTCGCGCGCCCCAGCCACTCACCAGGGTGAGGGCGGCCCGGGTGGGCTGCAGCTTCCTCTTGCTCACAGCCCGGACAGTGGCCCGGACTAACGAAGCCGACATCCTCGCCCTCCCGGCGCCCCGATACCTCGGGCCGGAACTCGGCCACCTCAGCCTCTCTCCATGGACACTGCGGGCGCATTGACGCCACAAGCTCCGGCGCACGGCGCCCTAGACCCCGCCCTTCGTGGGCCCGCCCACGCCGTCGCCATTGGGCGGGCCGTATGAGTGACGGGCGTGGGGCGGGCCGTATGAGTGACAGGCGGAGAGCGTGGCTTGGCGCCCCGGCCGTGGTCATGTGACGCGGGGCACAGGGGTCGAGGGCAAGGTCGTAGCTCTGCGGCAGATCCACGCGCGCTGACTCAAGCCGGACTGGGGCACATGGAATGAACTCGGACTTGTGGACTCTGGAGGCGCGCCGTTCCACGCCCTGCCTTCTGGGCAAGGTGCTGCCCCGCCGCTTAAGAACTCAGGAGTCTACCGGCCGGGGAGGTGCGGTTCACAAGGGCAGAATGGATTCGAGGCCCGGACAGCTACATACGTTTCCGTCTTCCTTTTTGGTCCAGCTTCGCAGTTCTTAAGAGCGTAGAATTACCGCAGATTCTCAATAAACATCCTCCTCCTCTCCCCCGCCTTTCCCCAGGCTGCTTGGGATGTTGAAATATGGTACTAACACAATGTTTGCTTTAGGTTGGAATCCAGCTTTACTGTAAGATGTGACTGGGCAGCTCGGGGAATACTTTTATAGCAAGTACCAGTCGATAGCTTGATGGAATACCTGTTGCTTGTCAGATCTTGTGGCTGCTCAGGGACTTCTGTCCTTTAATTCGGCAAACATTCCTGAGCCCCAGGCATTGTGCAGCCAGCACTATACCCAAGGCATATACAGGAAGCCTGGTAAACGGAAGGTCCAAGGAAGAATTGGAGATCCTGGTAGGAGAGAAGTGCAGTAGGGGCAGCAGATGGGAGGAGAACATCAAGAAAGGCGGCATTTCGGGCTTCCCTGGTGGCGCAGTGGTTGAGAGTCTGCCTGCCGATGCAGGGAACACGGGTTCGTGCCCCGGTCTGGGAAGATCCCACATGCCGCGGAGCGGCTGGGCCCGTGAGCCATGGCCGCTGAGCCTGCGCGTCCGGAGCCTGTGCTCCGCAACGGGAGAGGCCACAACACTGAGAGGCCCGCGTACCAAAAAAAAAAAAAAAAAAAAAAGAAAGGCGGCATTTCTAAGTGCTAAAGGGAAAAAGGAAGGAGGAGGTTGTGTGGAGTCTTGCTGGGGAGGATGGATTCTTGCTCAGTGTTTTGACGTGGAAAGAACTAATCAGTGAAGTGTTTTTTATTTTTATTTTAAAATGCTGGGCTGGGTTCGGCGAGGGCTTCCCCTCGCTCCCCGCCATGCGCACCACCACGGGCGGAGTGTGAAGTGTTTATTAGAACCCAGTTTATCTTTCATCCTCTAGAGCCTACAGGATTGGATAGTTCAGAATTAGTTAAGTAATTTTCTCTCTGCTACTGAGACGCGATCGCATTGACAGTAAGAGAATAGTTGTTTTCCAAGCCCTGCTGTGCACAGAAGAAACTGTGGGATTAGGCGAGGTAGTATGGAATCGTCTCTTGGTTTCATCTTTAACTAGGTGGGTGATTTGACAAGGTGGTGATCTGTGACTAGGTGGGTGATCATGTTCCTTCTCATGCCTTGTCTCCTAAAGATATGAAGATTAAATGAAAAGCTTTTGGAAGACTGCACAGCACACAGCAGCACTCCATAAACGGTGCTAATTGGTAATAGATATTCAAAGATGCCATGAATTTTGAAAATACTTCATATGATACAATGTCATTATACATTTGTCCAAAGCCACAGAATGTGCTACACCAAGAATGAATCTTAATGTAAACAATGGACTCCAGGTGACAATGATGTGCCCATGTATGTTCATGGATTGTAACAAATGTCCCACTCCGGTACAGGATGTGGACAGTGGTGGAGGTTGGTGTGCTGCGGGGGCCATAAGGGAACTCTCTACTTTCTGCTCAATTTTGCTGTGAACCTAAACCTGCTCTAAAAAATAAAGTTTATTAATAAAAATGTAAAAAAAAGATGCCATGTATTTTTATCAATTATTGAAAAAATGTTATACAGTTGCGTAGCACTGTTCAGGTTTCAGAAGAACCCTTGAGCACATTATCTCATTGGAGCCTCACTACTTTGAGCCACACAGAGGAGCGCTGGCATGGCTATTTTATAAATGATGCTTAAACTCAAGCCCTTTAGTATAGTGCCTTAGACACTATTTTAAAAATCCAGTCCTAAATTTTCTGATTGAGGATCCTGTGTATGACTAATAGCTTTCTTTCCTCTATTTAATACACACTACTCAGTTTTTAACTTGTTGGCTGTTTTGCATGTATGTGCTCAGCCACATAATCTGCTTGTCAGTGGATCAGGCATACCTAATGTTACTTGAAAATGGTGCAGATCCCTGAAAGAAACTGGCATGTTAGAAGAAAGTGTCTTCATGACTATATAAAAAATGTGTGCTCCTTTATCTCAGAGCAGCAGCTGTTGTGTGGTGTTGAAGTTAGGCGGGTGTGGAGACTGTTGAAGTGGTCCCAAGCTGTAACCACTTCTAGATTTCCACTAATAGGTTAAAAACTTACAATAGGAAAATGTTCAACACTGCACTTCAGGATTTAATTTCAGGGTTCTAGACATTTAAAAAAGTGTTTTCTTAGTAAGACCGCACTTGATCCTCACTACTGTGGAAGGGCAGGTATGGTTTCCATTTTACAGGCAAGGAAAATGAACTGCTAAAAGGTCAGAGGGATTTGCCACACTCTCAGCTGGAATAATGGCAGAGCCAGAACCTAATTAAGCCTAGAATTCCACTCAGTGGAAAGTGTGCTAAATTCTTGACTGCTGCTGTCCAAACAAGCCTGCTTTCAAAGAAAAAGAAGTACCGAGCACATCTTTGTAATTTTAGGGAGGTTTGTTAAATTCTGTTTCCTTTCAACATTTTTTTTTGCCATAATACTGAACCCTACTGACTTATCTACCCAGGATTTTTTCCACTAGGGTAATATATATATATATATATATATATATATATATATACACACACATATATTTGAATAAACTGAAGTTATCTGAGAACATTTAGTAACATCTCTGTGCACATTCCTGCTACTGTACACACTGAGCAAGAGATTAAAAAGTGTAGATTGGGGGTATAAAAAATGGATTTCATATTTTTGTTCTTGAGAGAAAGAGGAAGGGAGAACCCTGGTGGTGGGGCATTTTTGCAGCTTGTAAGAGACAGACCAGCTGCATCTGCAAGATAGCCACACCCTGGAAACTGGACTCAGCATGGAGCAGATGTTCCTGTCCCCCAGCTGGGGTGCTGAGAAGGGGCTGTGACCAGCATCCAAGTACAGGGAGTGAAGAGAATCAAGGGCAATACACTATCCAGGTCTGCTGGCAAATACTAGTCACTGTCCCACTGATTCAGTGTGACGAACTGAAAATCAAAAAGCTATCAAATACATTAGGCAGAATCTACTTTAGAAATCAGAATAAAATGTAGGAAACTTTCAACATTCTTCAAAGGATATATGAAAATATGGTTTCTATGAAAAGGAAGATAATAAGAACAAACTAAAAGAATGAGAGGAAAAGGAAGGTGGTGGGTTAGGTAAGTTCAAGAAAGTTACAAGTGCAATAACAAACCTCATGTTAGAAAGAGCAAACAGCAGAATGACACTAAAAATCAAGCCAGTCACGTGGAGGTTAAACTTGACAAGCTTTCCTAACCGGAAAGGAAAGAGATGATAGGGAGAGGCATTTGAGAATAGACAAAAGTATTTTTGAGAACTAAAATTATGAATATAGATATTCTCTCAAATTAAAAAAAAAAAAAACCTTAGGTGGGGAGAGACATTGGATTCACTTTTGTTTCAGACAAATGTCACTGATACAAAAGTTACAGGGAGAAATAAACACAGAAGCATCCAAGCAGAAAAATAAAACCTATAAGGGAACAAAAATCAGGTTGGCCCCAATCTCGTTACTATGCCAGAAGACAACAGAATGCCATCAACAGTCTTTCCAAAGAAAGTGACAAGAATTACGTGTCCAGTCGACTTTCATGTGCGAAGGCAAGAGAAGAAAAGAGGAGCAGCGGAGGAAAGTCAGGTAGAGCAGTTTTAGCCCAGGGTGCTTAATTCACTTGTTAATTCATGAGTTTCAGTTCATTCAAAACTGAGTAAGGAATAATGCCTAATTCTTTCTACCACAACTTCCCTACTCTAAAGTTAATTTTTTTTTTCTTTTTTTGGCTGCCCCGCGTGGCTTGCAGTATCTCAGTTCCCTGGCCAGGGACGGAACCTGGGCTACAGCAGTGAAAGCCCCGAATCCTAACCACTAAGCCAAAGGGAACTCCCCTCTAAAGTTAATTTTGATATGGTTCTTTTTTAGCTGGAAAATGTCTCCAAGTAATTTGTTTAAAAGAAGGGCACACAAGGTGTGCTACTTTCTGAGCCCTCTTCTATCTGGGAACGTTTGCCCAGCAAGCACCTGCTGCAGCCCTTCCTATGCATTCACCACCCATAAATCTGTGCCTCTTACTGGCACACTCTCAGGACTTGGCAGGCGTCAGGTGTCAATAAACACCAGATCGAATGAGCACATGTAAAGGGAGCATGGGATAAAGAGGAGCAGATCTGTACCGCCCTTAATCCTTGACCTAGTTTCCACAGGAAATGTAGGACTCTCAGTGGAAAGTAATATGGATAAAGTTACAGGTTGAAAATGTGATTTTATTTCAAAATGATAAATAAACCGAGGCATAGTTTAGACCATGTACTACTTCTGAAGGGCTTGTGAATTAGAGAAACAGTTCCAGGAGGGCTCCAGTCAGACCAATCAAACTCATGATTGGCAGATAGCCTCTTTAATAATCAGGGATTTTAAAAGTCCTCCACCCTAATTTCTGAATATCATAAAAAGTAAAAATTACTTTTGTCATTTTTCCTTTGAAAATGTTTTTAGCAGCAAACAGGACTCTTGTTTTCCTTACTTCATTTTTATGACCATAGTAGTTATATGTCAACTTACTTAAAATTAGAGAGGGAAGAAAACTAAAAGCCCCTCAGTGGCACTG